GACTTTGATTTTTGGGAGAAAAATGGAGGAACAAAACGGAGCATAAATTTAGTCATTTTGGCGAAATGGCGAAACATTTCCATAATTTTCTCGTAGTTTTCGCCGTAACAGTCGAATAAAGCGAAAAACATCAGACTAATTTCTGTTTTTTCGCAATATCTAGAATAAGTGGTAAAGGGACCCCCCCCCCCCCCCCCCCCCCCCCCGTAACTGTGTGGAATTGTAAGGTTTTAAAAACTTATACAACTTTGAAACCCGAAATACCGTAAACCTTAATTTACCAAGATAACTAATTACCCAAATTTTCGTACCCAAACAGTCTGAGTACTTGATAGCCATCTAGTCGCTGACTGTTTAGTAGTTTCCAGAAGTCTAAGAATTGCAGCTGGTTTAAGAGCACCACATTAACACATTTGTGCTATTAAATGTCGTGATGATCCTATCTCTCTTAGTGATATCTAATATAGTGTAATTAATATGTAATTAATGTAATTAATATGCATGGTCCTCACATTAGCTCCATGTCAGGGACAAATAGAAATAAACAAATTTAGCTGCACGAGAGTCTACAGTAATATTTATATATGCGTGTGAGTGTATGACAAATATGCTAAAAATTACAAATATGCTAGAAATATCCTAAGCTTGACACAGCAGGTCGAGTCATCATATAATTGATATTTTTCAGGTTTTTAAATGAGCTGTTGAATATGGATTGTGGGGTCGGTCCATCAGAGACTAACTTTTATCGACTCTATAACACTATCAAAGCTTTCTCAAAAAGGGACGAAATGTCAAGTTTCTCGGCTTGAAACAAACGTTATGAAATTAATATTTCCATAATGTTTTATATATCAACAGAGAGCTTTTTCTTTTCAGAGTTTCAGTTTATATTTAGAAAATAACCATACTATCTTTTAGATTTATGTCACTTAGTTATGTAACGACTCTTGTTCAAACACAGTGTAATAGCAGTCTCCTTAAGAAATCATTCTTTTATCGGACACATCTGCTCTGGAATAAACTTCCTCTCGAAATAAGAGACCATAGGGCATAGCTGTCCTGATATCTTCAAGGCCAAACTTAAGGATCACCTATGGTCGGAAATGCTACCCACAGATCCAAACGATAGTCACGCTGAATTCTACCTGTCTGATAATGATTAGATGCATCTCATTTCTCCCAATGCCAATTCTCTGATCTAAAATAACCGATCCAAACTATTTAAGGGGTTAGGGGTGGGGTGGGTTGTGGGTTGGGTTTTTAAAAGTATTGTATGATATAATCTATTTCATTAACAAGTTAACAAATTATTAACATTATGATATTTTATGCACGCTGTATTTTATTATTGCACAATCTTCTCTATAACAATATATCTTAAATTTATATGTGTTGATTGTATGAAATGTTTTGTCAGGGACCATATTTTGTAGGTGTAATTTTTGCACGAACTACGTTCTGGTTTCCCGTCATTATAGTACATAGAAATCACTTTTGACCGTATTATTTTCATGCAATTACATTGATGTATGTACTATTTTGAAAAGATTTTCAATAAAAATAAAAAAATGATAGCTCCGGCTGAAAGTACTATGACTAATTTTATCTAGAAGATAATATGTAGTTTCATTGCTTCTGGAGCAGCTATCAGTTCGCCGGCCAATGTTGGGTATAATACTCTTGAGAGCTTATGTTATACCTTACTCGGGATTATTATGACCGGGATAAAGTGGCGGGTTTAGGGTAATTTCGCCATATTTTTCCCGAACCACATTTTCACCGGTGCGGTCGTTAATAAACCCGCCGTCTCAGCTTTTAGGGTTCCCAAGGGGTATGGGTGCTCATATTTTAATCGTTGTCTTATATTCACTAAAGAAGACTATTGGGACACTTGTTGTAGGTTTTTCGACTTCATTTGGCTAAAATTGCAAAAAATTCACCTTTTTGCCCAATTCTTGTCATATATCCTTATTGTCAAAGTTGATTTAAATAGGCCAATTTTTAATTTCTTAGGTATTGACTATCTCTACATTATGAAATAGGACTCAAAGTAAAAGTAACAGTTAAATTAAAACTTGAATTAATTAAAACTGTCAATAACATGAATCAGTTTTATCAGTCATTTATTCATAATTCTAAAAAATGTGAACGATGCATTCTTTCGAAGTTTGATTAACCACGAGTCATTATTTCTGTCTACTTTCAACAATTATTGATAATTCGACTTGTTTCACAAGTTTTAGCAATGCGAAAATTTCTAAACTTGCTTATCTCTAATAAGGAAATTTACAGAAAGGTTGGACACCGGTAAAATGGCGACCGGGAAAATGTGGTGGGTTTTGAGCAATTTCGCCATATTTTTCCCGAACCATATTTTAACCGGTCGTTAATAAACCCGTCGTAATAATCCCGAGTAAGGAACTCTCAATCAAGATTTCCTATAACACAGTGACATGTGGTGTGGAGTCAGCCGTTAAAACATGAAATTAGGATAAATAAGTTACCAAGGTAACTAATTAGTTACCTTGGTAACGGGCAGTATTTAATTACACAATGTCAGATGTGTAATGTGTATAGTTATATGTGTATTTCTCCTTATCTCTATCACCTCAATAAGTGTAACAATAAAACTGCACTGTGTAGTTGTTCACAATATTGAGGGGGGTACTATTATCTTATTATTATGATATAAACCTACCATGATCTTGAAACTGTTTTGTTTGCAAGTCGGAAGATATGATGTTACAACACTATTATAACTAGATGACTTGAGTCACACTTTATTTCATGATAAACAAGATGTTACAAATGTTTTACTGCGCTGATGTAGCCAATAATAATAATTAAGTTGTAATACAGGGTGGCCCAAAAGTAACTTATACCCACACCCCTTTAATAACTAACCGATGGACTCAATAATTAAGTTGTATTATAGTTAGTTATATATACAACTCCATGTTGAAAACGATTAGTTGCTACAACAATAATATTACAGTTTGCATTGTTCGTGGTCATGTAAACTTGTTACAATAACAAAGGGTCGTTTGTGTGTAAACGCCGGCCAGATCCTAATAATATGAGCATATTCTATTCCGTTTTGATATTATAAATTATGCATAATTCCGGAATATGAGGATAATAATGTGAATCTCGGATGATTAAAGCAAGTCATTGTTAACTTGTAAAAAGTAAATCATCTAATGTAATGAGCACGGGTCAGTGAGGCGTGCTTTTCTGGACTCTGTGAGATGCAGAATATTAGGAGTTTGGAAATCGGACTTTAATTCCAGGGAGACACCCCTTAATTAAGACAACCCTAAGGTTTTGTCATACATTTAACAATTCATTAATGCATTTATTAATCACAACTAAATTCGTCACTGAACTCTCCAGTTCTAGTAAATATATACGTGTGTAGATAGTGGTAGATATCTAATCTGAACAAGCAGTCAGCCTGAAACATCACAAATGTCATTGAAGACTGTTGGACGTAAAATGAATGTTTGGATCTTAAGGGCACATCTTGAACCCTAACAGTTCTTTTGTTTTAAACTTTTCCTTAAAAAGTAGGTTTTAAGAAAACGCTTCACAGTCCGGATTTGTCAAGTTATCGCTATCTAAATTTCCAGATTTTCTTACACACGATGTTTAACCGGAACTGAAACACGCTCGGTATAGCAGTGCAGCTTCAAACAGATATATTATATTTTAAACTAATTAAAACACTACAAATCTATTACATTTATTGAGAATAATGTAATGTAACGTGATGGAAATATTTTAAACGGGTCATATCCTGTTCAAACCCAGGATGCATAACATGAAGAATTCGTTGTTATTTTGTATGAAAAGCATTAATATGTAATATGTCACATGTAATTTACATGTAACATGTAATTTACATGTAACATCAGTCATGTCACAAGCTGCTTTATTTGTGGAATCCCTCGCAAAGATTGAAATAGATCTCACAGCAAGGTACCTCTCCAGTATATGTGTGCGTGGTATTTCACGTGGAACTGTCTGATCTAATAATAATTACAGGGGCCCTCGCTCTACACTCCAATGCCTACATATTGTGTTGTTTTCTTTTAACGTATAATATGTTTATTGAATATCATGTTACTTCTGGAGGGGGTACCGTGCAGTCTCAAACAGACTCGTTCTGACTAATTATTCCATATAAGGAGTGATAACCTGCAGAATGATGAGATCTTAAGACAACACTGGACAATAGGTGAGTGTAATGACGGCTGCATTCTTTAGAGCAATAGTGAGCCAGATAGGAAATCCGAATTAGAGTATAATAACGCTGTGATTTGCAAACCAATATATCGAGTACAGTAATCTTATATTCTTGTGCTGGCCCATTATTGGGGCCTGCAGACTTCAACCGTTGTTCAATAAGATCATTCGGGTTGAAGTGTGTTGTAAAAGGATAACCGAAAGGCGAACTTTTCTGAAGAAATCTTAAAGTTATATTTTAAAGATGGGCAGGTCATTCGGTATCGGTAAAATATAATCACGCCATGAGCAAATCTGCGGCTCGACCAATTCGCGTATATTATGTTACGGATATGACAATATATTTAGCATAAAATACAAATATATTCGAAACATGGATTTAGGTAAATGTACAGATGATTAGAGTGAAGGTGGTGTGCGTGTAACAGTTAGCTGCGAGAGAACGGTTACCCGTTCCAATTACAGCGTGGGATATTGAGCACTACAGAATCAGACAATTACAGCGGGGTAGTTGGATTTCCTTCAGTCATATCCTGGTACCGGTGGCATGAGAGGGAACGTTTCACATTTACCCCTTATTTAATCTGATTTTAGTGAATTCCGGCACAGGATTTAACTCGGATAGGATTTGAGAGTTGTTACAGTTACTCTCTTCGAAGTTTATGGGGGCAATTTGGCAATATAGAGAAAACTATAAATAACTAACATTTAAATATACACATTACACATTAACTTAATGATTTTTGTCTGACCTATGTTGACGAGCTTGATTCCATCATCCGTCAGGATTTTCAGACCAATTCCAATGTTCTCCATCATTTGCATCTTTATTCTGAGACGGAGAAATTATCATTTTGTCGATATTATCAACACAACCAACAATGAAGAATATGTGGGACATTATAGTGTACCAACAAGAAGATAATGATACTATCATGTTGCCACTTAAAGATTGACAGCTGTTTTTTAAAACCTTTAAGGGATAAGACTACATGCAATGTATGTAACTTAAGGAATACAACTGTTTGAAACTATCGTTACTTCGTTCTCGTATATGTACAGATATAATTGAACTGAACACATGTGCAGAACACAATGAGGGCTAAAGGTATTCTTTTTTCTACAAATAGTTATCAAATTACATTGTTTAATTAAGCTAGGTAATTAGGTTGCAAAATTCATAGACTTATGAACCCAACGATTAGCAAGAATACATTATCACATTTCGATTCTTCGATTGAACACTGTTTGAGTTCATGAATATGTATACCTAACTTCAAAAGTAATTTTGTGTTCCAGACTGAACTGTCACATTCACCTCGCCATAATGGTAATTAGTAATAAAATAGTACCTGGGTTTCTTAGTGTATCGTGTAGGTGATGGGTTCTGGGTGAGTAGCTCCACAAGGTTAATCAGGTTCGTTCCATCTTTTAACCCAACCTGACGCAATGAGATACAGTTAAAAGCTATCTAAGGGCCCTGAGGCCTGTTGGTAAACGACAGGTGGCATAAGTTTATTTTGAAACGTGAGACTTTGGGATTTGATATCATGGTTACTGTGAGTTAATTAGCTAATCTCACTCAAGACAAACTTACCCAATCTCTCTGCAATTACCTCAGTCTGTTATAATATTTGGTTTACAAGAAAAGAAGAAAGATCTCATAGAGTCAAATTAAAGAGATTTATCAAGTATTGTAGAACTAAAAAACCTTTAAGTCTTCAATGCCGAGACTTCTAGGCTTAAGTTGTTGGTTACACCACCGAGTGAAAGTTTTGCGTTGAATCTGAGCCCATTCGGGAAGTTCAACCTGGAAATTTTCTTCTTCTGAGTCACTCATGGCTACCACTGATATTGTTCTGTTAACAGTGATCTATAAAAATGTAGTTATTAATAAAAACCATTGCTTATAAAATATAAATAAATCAATTATAAAGCACTGGAGCAGTAACAAGAGCTGCATATTCGAGAGAACCTAACTTTTTCACCATCTCAATCCCCCACTTCATCAATATCTAAACTTCACAAATGTCTGAAGAAAATCTCTAAGAAATTGTGGGCTTTATGGTCTGCTACGAGGTCCAGTGCTGTCTCCATTCTCATTCATCATTATATATCTATCTAATATATATATATTTTCAATAAATCTGTGTGTGTGCGGGAAATTTCCGAGCGGTTATATTAAAAAACAGTAGAAGTTACGGGACTGGTGTTTTCGGTATATATAGTGCCGACAAAACTCTGACGAAGCCAATAAGAAAATTTTTTTTAAATCAGCCGGTGGTAAGTGGTTTAATTGATGATTTTGTACCACAAATGTGACATAAAATGGCTCACTTTTTCTCCCTCTTCGCTCAGTCTTCCAGTCTTCCAGATTATGTAGCATTGGTACATTAATCATAATTAGGTTAGCCCCGCAAGTCGGACCTGTTCTCGGTGGTTAAATCCTTGGAGACAGTTATTCCCGTATGGTACCTTAACCCCTCACTATTAGTCGCTTGGCTGTGGTAAAGTCTAACAAGTGACTAGGTGAGCGAGCGGGCTGCAGCACTCTTGTTGTTGGATCCTATCTACAGAAACAACTATCTATTTGGTCTACTGAGAAACCTATTTTGGTAGATCCATTGGCACTCAACAACTATGATGACATAGTATCTTGCTGTCCTGCATCGTCAAAGTTTTTTATAAGCCCACAAGTAATACTTTAAGCTTATTAGGGGTGAAGGGCACTGATTGCAGTCTGTTTGGACTGTAGCACAAAATCGTCGTTTGAGTGTGGGACAATTTTGAAAAACTCATAAAGGGAGGGGGCACCAACAGGGGGGGGAGGGGCATTTTCGGCAGGGGGCACCAACAGGGAAAGTTACGCCACTGACAAGGATACAAGGATACAAGGATACAAGGATACAAGGATACAAGGATACAAGGATACAAAGATACAAGGATACAAAGGATACAAGGATACAAGGATACAAGGATAAAAGGAGACAAAGGATACAAGGATACAATGATACAAAGGATACAAGGATACAAGGATACAAGGATACAAGGATACAAGGATACAAGGATATCAAGGATACAAGGATACAAGGATACAAGGCAGTGGCGTAACGTTGCCTGTTGGCGCCACCCGCCGTAAAAGCACCCCCCTGTTGGCGCCCCCTCCCCTTTTGGTGCTCCTCCCTAAAATTGAAAAAATTAGGTGATTTTAGAGGATACGCCGGTAAAGCCTCTAAAAAAGTGTGTATCTAGAGCAAAACGCGCAGTTTTGCTAGTACTTTAGATAAGTTTTCGAAATTGCCCCTCCGCACATTGGGGTCAGCGGGGCCCTTCGTTACGCCACTGATACAAGGATACAAGGATACAAGGATACAAGGATACAAGGATACAAAGGATACAAGGATACAAGGATACAAGGATACAACGATACAAGGATACAAGGATACAACGATACAACGATACAAGGATACAAGGATACAAAGATACAAGGATACAAAGGATACAAGGATACAAGGATACAAGGATAAAAGGAGACAAAGGATACAAGGATACAATGATACAAAGGATACAAGGATACAAGGATACAAGGATACAAGGATACAAGGATACAAGGATACAAGGATACAAGGATACAAGGATACAAGGATACAAGGATACAAGGATACAAGGATACAAGGATACAAGGATACAAGGATACAAGGATACAAGGATACAAGGATACAAGGATACAAGGAGACAAGGAGACAAGGAGACAAGGAGACAAGGAGACAAGGATACAAGGATACAAGGATACAAGGATACAAGGATACAAGGATACAAGGATACAAGGATACAAGGATACAAGGATACAAGGATACAAGGATACAAGGATACAAGGATACAAGGATACAAGGATACAAGGATACAAGGATACAAGGATACAAGGATACAAGGATACAAGGATACAAGGATACAAGGATACAAGGATACAAGGATACAAGGATACAAGGATACAAGGATACAAGGATATAGTTGAAATTGTGAAAAAATTTGAGTTCAAAAACAATTCCAATTATTTACAGATGTTTTGGAATAATTTAGAAATCAGAAATATTATATTTGCTAAAGTAAAGTAAAGTAGCAAACTGGAGCCTATCTCCAAATGTAAAATAAATACCGGTTTTTTGAAAAATGTAAAAGTAACGTTTCCTCCCCAGGAAAAAAATTTGGGACATTCTTGTTTACATCGTATCAGGCAATGGTTCAGTTTAATTATGGTAAGGGCACAGCCTGTCAAAAACCCTTTTCGCATGATCCGTCGACACCACCTGAAGGTGAATGCATAATAACGGATCATGAACGTACGGAATCAAACGTTAATTAATTTTTAATACTTTCAGCGCTGCTATATAACAAATAATTTGAGTTCAGGAATAGCATGTACTAGTACCCCCAAAGGGGAGCCGTGAGTAATTCGTTGTTTGTTTGCTGTGCTGTCTTTATTAGCTGTGTGTTGCTTGGCTGTGTGATGTCAGGTACAGGTATAAAAACACCATCTACCGGAAATAGACGTGGCTCTGTGACAGGAACAGGGCAAAACACTAAAAAAGAGCATCATAATGTTGATAGATGCCCATGTAGCCAGTCGAATACTGGAAGCTTCAAGCTAGTATGCACAGGATGCAAACAGAACTGGCATGCAGATTGTCTGGGACTAAAGGGTATCACGAAGCCGTCAATATTGAAGCTGGAACAGTGGTTATGTCCATTTTGCTACGTAGCACCTGTACCAACCAACTCACACGACAACTTCTGCTACAAATGTCGGAACACCCTGAGTCTACAACAGTCCAATAGTGATTATGAGGTACACTCTGCCTGTCAGAACCTCAAAGACATAGAAACCTTGACAAAATCACTATCAACAATTGATGTTGATAAAATGAAAGAGTCAATCCAGGTGATCCAAAACCTCGACCTTCACCTGCAACACCTGCTAACCAATGAACATGGTTTGAAAGACCATCAAAACCGGGTCAAAAGCATAGAAGACCACTGTAAAGGAGAACTAAGTGAAGATGTGAATGGTGTTAAAACGGCTATTGAGGACCTTCAGAAACAAATCACTGATCTTTCCACCAAAGGTCTTGTCTCATCTACTGCTCCCAAGCTTGACACTGAGAAACTGATACATGATATCATTGACCAGCTTGATGAACATACTCGGCAGGAACCGCACATTTCTCTTGAATTGAAGGATATCAAGCAGTCTCTAGACCAACTGTCTACCCAACAGACTACAATTCCTCACGATAAGCCATCATCTGGCTCTGCATTAAATGATAAGCACCTTCTATCAAAGACCATCTTTAAAAATGAAGAAAAACCTGTGGCAGACACAGTGGAAGAATTCATAGACAGTGATGCTGAATCAGATCTTCTCCAGTACTGCGAATCTCTTCAGTTCAGCAAGGAGAATGGGCACTCAGTGTGTTCGTTTGGAGAGAAATACAAATACAGTGGATCCAGGGATGAGAACAAGAAAAATGCAGAAATACCGGAGAAACTGGCTGCGCTCATCCTGAAAATTAATGAGAAGTTCTGTGCAGAAGAAAATCCTGTAATGAATAGCGTGTTGATCAACCGCTACGAAGAAGGCGAGGGTTACCTGCCAGAACATTCTGACAACGAACCAGTGATACATCCAGAATCTAGCATATTGACTCTTTCCATTGGAGGTGAATGCGAAGTCCTCTTCACTGAAATGAACAACTCAGTTCACACACACAAGTGTACCCCCAGGTCAGTTTACAGGATGACCAGAAGGAGTCAGGCTCACTACAAGCACTCTATCCAGAAGGGGTCAGTCACTGGTGCAGTACGATATAGTTTTACTTTCAGATCAATAGACGGGAAGAATCGTGCTAGTACTTGTATCTTCTCTGATTCAAACGGATCAGGTATGAAATTTGGAGAGGATCACAAGAGGAGCTTTGGTAAATGGCTGCCTGGTCGGAATGTTTGGACTCCGACAATAGATGACATTAACCCATATCTTGCATGTGGATACAAGAACGTTGTTATTATGTGTGGTATTAATGATGTTAGAAGACCATCTGTTAAATCTCAACGTGAAATTTTTGCTATATTTAGTCTTTTAGAATTCAAGATTGAGCAAATCCAAGAGGCCAATCCAACTGCTCAAGTATTTCTTTGTCCACTTTTACCAACTCGAAATACTGACTTAAATAGGAAAGTTCTATACTTTATAGAGCTTATTCGACGTGAGCTACTTCCCAAAAACTTTGGTGTCCAGTTCGTTGATGGCTTTGATGACTTCCTGGATAATAACACTGGCTTACTTTGCCCAACCTTGTCCAGGGAGTTTGACAAATATGGCCGGACGGATTACCTGCACCTTAATTGGAAGGGAGTGGCCAAACTTGCTACTTTAATCCGTAATACTGTCCTTGTTAGGATGCATGGAGGGACTGATAGGAGGAAGAGGGGTAGGAGGGACGGTAAGGTTGGTTCAACACTTTATTCTCATGCCGCCGGAGGACAGCCTCATGTTGAAGGCTATCAGCCTCCAGTATGAATGTTCTTAAAAAAGAGGTCTGTGCCCACTGTTTAAAAAGTATCTATCTAGGTCAATCTATATTTGAATGCTACAACTGTAACTGTCCCATTCACTCTAGATGCTATAACACCAGTGACAAACAAAATCAAAAAGTTGACTTGTACTGCAATAATTGTCTCCACCTAGCAGTAATCCGTTATAACCCATTCAAGCTTCTGAATGATGACAATGATGATAACACTGATGCAGATGATGTTACACGTAAAATCTCTGAGGTACTTGAAAGCTGTGACTCATATTCTGTAAAAGGCATAAACCACACCTTTGCTCA